TAAACTTGGAAGAAGCTTGTATGCCACACAAAATTGGGCTACAGTTTGCTGACCCTCTGTTCTAACATCCTGGGATGAGAGCTAATTCCCCTCTAGAGAATCGTGCACAGTACCTGACATGTGGGCCGTCAATGTTTTGATACATAAGGCACTCTAGGACTAATGATCCACAACTGGAATCCTGAGGGGTCTGAGAAAGTCAGCTCTTCTGGACTAACACTACCATGTGCAAAAGTTAGTGATTTTATTTGTCAGCCTGTGGTTTTGGGGAAAGTAATTTTACCGGTTTATGTCTCAACTGCCTCAGCAATAAGATGAGGACTAGTGTTAAAACTGCATTAAATAAGTAATGTGTGAATGACAAAACAGTGCCTGGCAATTAGCATGGGAAATAAAGATATTTGCTAAGGTAAAAAAATTTGAAGTCTCAAGATACTCATTTTGGATTGCAGAGGATGGAAATAAAAAAATAAGCAAACTGTATTTTGTCACAAATTCACAGTAGATGTTATTAAACAATGGGAAATCTAGATCAAAGAATAACTATAATTACCTCAAGATGCCAAGGTAAATGTGAAAACCAAGTTTGATTTCAAATTTGTGCTGTCTGTCCTCTATATAACTCTGCCTCTTAGGATTAATACTTACTCAAAAGACTGTTGTGGTGATTACAGAATATTATGTATGTAAATTTGCTCTGCAAGTTGGAAAGTAGTATACATTGTATGAGTAAGATGATTTTTCACACACTGTTTTAGGTTTCAAAACAAAATTTCCCAAGTGGATTTGTTTAAAGAGAAAGAACTCACCAGAGTCTCTGACTTCTGAAGTTTTTCTTCAACCAAAGTGGAAAAAAAGAACGTTTTTAGGATCTCCTGGAGAGCAAGCTAATAAAAACATCAGACCCCTTTGGAAGTTGCAAGCACCAGTATGTATTCTGTTGCCCATAACAACCAATTATCATGTAATATTTTGGGATCATAGATGGCATTTTACAGAGTAACTTAAAAAAATCTCCAAAGGGGCATCACAGAGTTTGCAATTTGCAATTTGTCAACTAGTTTTTTCTAGATGGCTTTAATCTTTTAGAATTTCATCTCCTACATCTACCTCAATGGTCCCTTCTTACGAATCCAAAGTTTCTTTTTTCAGCCACTGATAAAAAAGAGAACCTGAAGTTTCAGGGCTACAGACAGGATTTCATTTGCTATATTTAAATCAGAAATATGTCCACCTCTTAGAGCGCTGAGGATTAAAGATGCACATTAAAGAGCATATAGTAATTAATCATGGATTGGAAAGAAAAAGGCTATAAAGGTAAATCAAGAATATATGATATGAAAGTCATTCTGAAGGGAAAAGAAAACCCATTTGAGGATTTCATGCAGGGAAGTACCAAGATAAAGATCTTTGCTGGATAATGATGGGAGAACTTAGGCATAGTAGAGGGAAAGATGAATGAGGGAAGTGGCGGTAGCTGGACTAAAGTGTTTAGGAGACAGAATCCAAAGGATTAGGCAATGACTGGACATGAGGAGTGAAGGAGAGAGTAGTCAAGTGCCAGAATCACTAAGACTGTACCACATGCTCCAGTTCTTGTTTCTTCCTGGCATACCCATCAACCCTTTGGATTTAGCTGTGGCCATGTAATATTTTCAGGCCAGTTAAGAGTGAGATTACTTTCAGGCAGAAACTTTAAAAGTCAGGGTGCAATCCCCCATAAAACAGTAATAAAGTACAGGATGGTAGTTTTGTCAACATGGATCTCAGAGTAAAACTGACATAAAACCTTCTCCCAAATCAAGTCTGACCTCCACTTGGGTCAAGTAGAATAAATATACCTTTGCTTGTTAGTCCCATGAGATGTGAAAGTTGTTACTGTAGCACAATTCAGCCTATCCTGACTAATCCAGTAAGAAAATAATCATGGTCATTTGAGATTCGTATCCAGAAAAGAGAACTTAGAAACCCAAACTATAAAGTTAGAAATCTGTCTGAATGGGCAGCAAATCTGTAGATACACGATTAAAACATTAAGAAAAAAATAACTTTACCAATGTCACTGCAGAAATGATACGGTGCATTTTTCAAAGAAAGAAAATTTAAACATATACTTGAGAAATCAAATTTTTATGGTTTTAGAATATTATATTATAAACTATTTGGTACATATCTGTATTTTGAGAATTTAAAAAAATTGAGTGTCTTTATTTCTCCTTTTCTTGCACACATGGGAGAAGGAAAGACTTATGGTTAAGAACAGAAAAAACAAGGGAAGCCTCTTTCTTTTTCCAATCAGGTCTGCCTTTAAAATGTAAATGTAACTACTTCCACCATTAATAAAGAACTAGCAATTATTAAGCAGTTTCTATACGCCAGGCAAAATACTTAATATTTGGCTGGGCACAGTGGTGCACACCTGTAAGTCCAGTAGCTCAAGAGGCTGAGGCAGGAGGATTGTGAGTTCAGAGCCAGTCTCAGGAGCTTAGTGAGGCCCTAAGCAACTTAGTGAGACCTTATCTCTAAATAAAATATAAAAAGGGCTGGGGGGCTGGGGATGTGTTCAGTGGTTGAGTAGCCTTGGGTTCAATTCCCACTACCACACACACACACACACAAAAAAAAAAAAAAAAAACAAACACATTAATAGCCTCACTACATTAGTTTATTTAACATTATACTCTATACATTTTACAGATGAGGAAACATAGAGAAGGCTACACAACAGAGACTAAGTTAGGACCATTTCCAAAGCCTATGCCTCATATAACCACTATACATAACTTTCTCAATGATAAGTCCTGATAAATTGAGTTTAAATGGAATTTTCTTTAAAAAATGGTGATTTCAATAATAGGGAGATAAGTAGAAAACAAAGAGAAATATGCCCTAAAAAAGGCAGATGTAGGCAGTTATGAGGTGGATAGAGTAGATGCAGGATGAACAATATGTAAGAGACATACCCAGTGGCTTCATAATCTACCCTGCTTACGGCTATGAGTAAGAATTTTTCATTAAGATGCACTCACTGTATCAGCAGATTCTGGGTTCAAACCTCAGCTTTGTCATTTGTTAGGTGACTCTTTACAACTTCCTGGATGGTTGAGTCTCCATCTTTCTCAGAAAATTGGTGACTATATTACCTACTTCAATAGACCTTTTTTTTTTCTTCTCTTTCTTTTCTGACCCCACAATATCAAATTAAACAATGCCTCTTATCAAAGTTGGTTTCAACAACATGAATACCTTATTTCTAAGTACAAAAACCTTATTTCTAAGTATTTCTAAGTACAAAGTACAGACTCTTACATATTTAATATGTAAGAGACATTATCAAAAGAAAAACCTATTATCAAGCAATAAATGTACGAGTTATGAAGATATAATATACAACAAAAAAAATAGGACCATGGGTTAAGACCCTACCATCAGACCACAGTTCCAATTTCGATACCATCTATTTACTGGCTAGGTAACTATGGTTAATAGCAGAAACAAGAACCATAGAAAACAAAAGCCAACATGTGAGTGCTTGCTAAGCCAGGCTCTGTTGCATATATTCATTTTATGTAATCTTCTCAATAACCCTATCAAATAGGTACCACTACTTTCCCCATATTACTAAGAAACTGAAGCCCAGATAGAATAAGAAACTTGACCAAGGTCATCAGATTCTAACACACATAAACTCAAGAGCAGCAGCCCCGTGCTCCTAATTAGTAGACAATTAACAGTGTATAATAAGTGCATAATCACCTTCTGCAGGGCTGACTTAAGGATTAGAAATAATATATGGAAAGAGCCCAGAAAGACAGTCAGCACAGAGTAGGTGAATGAGAAAAGGCACAAGGATACAACTTATACTGCAGGACAAAGCGGAACCATCAGAAATCAATCTATACAGCTTCCTTAGTGCCAACCTTCTTTCAAAGTCTTAGGACAATTAATGTATTACCCAGGTTGGGTCAAAGTTCATGTGTATATTTCATAATATAAGAAGCTATGAAAAGGTAAAAAATTAAGGCTGAAACTATAACAGACTACTGCTATATCACTTTACTTCAATAGTTTTGTTTTAACTGAAGGGTTGAGATCCTGGGACTCTATGAACTCGGTAGTTTAAAAATCACTGAATTTGGGAAACTCAGTCATCTAATTTGAAGTCAGATAAGTTTAATAATTTGTTCCAAACTCAAAAGGTTTGTAAAGACCAGATTCCTTTTTTCCAACTGGATGGTCTCCTCACTAGTAGTATTTCTATCTTAAGTCAGTTGCATAGAGAAAATGCATATTAGTTATGGAAACCTAAGTAGAGTAAGCAGAATATATGTATACAAGGGCAGAAAAGCTATAGGGTGCATATAAATAAGGAAAATAGATGATCACTGAAAAAAAGGTTTTCTGTCCTATTCTGTTTTATTTACACTCAGTAATTTCAAGATAAAGTTCCTCCAAAGAAAGATAAACAGGAGAATTTTCTCCTTTACATGATATTACAGCAAATCATTTGAAGGGGAAAAAGTCCTATTATAAATATAGAAAACTCCAAATTCAGGAGAATTCAGTGTTCACTTAATTATGTCTTTCACGTCCGTATCACCAAAAACGAGTCAAAATCCTGGATGCATTTATGCAGTTAAGAGAGAAAACTAGGAATGTGAGGCTGTACTCCCAAACTCCTGCAAAAGTTGCTACAGAAACAAGGTAACAAATGTTAAAAGGGGGCATTTTCATTCATGTCCCCCTTCAGTTAAAAGGATTCTGCATTTTTTATGCCCCCCAAAAACACTTCTTTCTCGACCAGATCGCCTTCTGAGAACGCATCTTTGTTTTGTTTTATTTGTAGGATCAATTTCTTAGGATACTATGCAAAGTAACTGTTAACTCCTATTGCCAATGTCACTTCTCCGCTGGTATCTACCTGCTGAAGCACCCTCCGTAAAAGCGAAAAAGACGGCTCAAAAACAGACCTGGAGAGAGACCAGCAGGACACCACTTACCGAAAACACTGCATTCTGAAGCCCAAAAGGTATGGGGGTCAATCTGGCCAGCGCCACCACCTTCAGGCCGCTTCCTCCCTCCACGACGCGAATAACAGCGCTCAGCTTCTCGCTACTCTGGATCTTGGCGGCCACCCAGGCGGTGAGCAGCCGCTTGCAGACCACATGGGCGATGAAGGTGCCGATGAGGACGCCCACCACCATCAGACCCATGCCCAGTACGAAGCCATACAGGTAGCCGGCGGCTACGTTGAGCACGATGTAGCCCCAGCCGCAGGGAAATGAGACCACGATGAAGCCCACAACGAAGAGCAGGACCCCCAGCAGCGAGTCAAGGCTCTCCACCCAGAGCAGGAGGTGCTGCAGGTAGCGGCGGACCAGGGCCAGGGAAGCGAAGCACAGGGCGGCCAGCACACAGACCAGCACGAGGCTCCGGCACCAACAGGTGCTGCCGAGGCAGCAGCAGCGCCAGTTTCTCACCTCGGCCACCCCGACCACCACGCCGCCGCCGCCGCTGCTCCCGGGGCCGCCCGCCAAGGCCCCGCCCGGCGCCGGCACCTCAGAGGCCGCGGGCTGACCGTGGCGCTCCAGATAGGCGCCGAGCAGGGCGCCCGAGGCCGCCGCCGCCGCTGCTGCCGCGCTCGCCCCGCCCCCGCGGGGGAGGCGGTCCGCCGAGTCGTCCCCGCCCGCCGCCCGCACCAGGGCCCAGCCGGATGGCAGCTCTGCGCGGCCCGGGCGGACGACGTGCTGCAGGAGCCGGGGGAGCGCCTGAAGCAGACTCCCGCCTGGGCTCCGCATGCCTCCGCCCGGCGCGGGTCCACCTCAGCCAGCCAGCCTCTCCGCCGCGGCGCCCGTCAGGCGGCAGCCCTCCATGGCGCCCCGCAAGCCGGGCCTCGACTCCCTGCGTCCGCTTGGGTGACGGGAGACGGCCCGCAGAAGGGCGAGGAGTTGGCTGCGGAGCGACAGTCGGGCAGAGAGAGGGGGAACTCCAGACCCCTCCGACCGAGTCCGCCCCTTTTCGGCCAGAAGGGGCGGGGCTGCGGGCGCGCGGGGGCGGGTACGAGCCGCGTTCCGGCCCCGCCCCCGTGACGCACAGCCCCTGAGGCTGAGGGCCCTGCAGCGTCTGCGTTGGCAAGCCAGCGCCTGGAGCCCTGGGTGTCCGCGGGGAGGGGAGAAGAGCCGCGGGAACACACGCGCCGGGGCAGGAGCGGCTGCAGTGAGGCGGAAAGTGGACGCTGGGGCTGAATTGGGGGGCAAGGGACTGCGCGCTCCCGGCCTTCCCAGACGGGCGCGCCCGTGCCTGCGTGTCAGTGCACGCGCTCCTCTCAGACCAGGAGACCCCTGTCTGCTAGCTGGTTGGATTCTCGTCCAAATCTCGGGTGATTTCCGCAGTAAACCCTGATCCAGGTTGGCAAGTCTGTGGCACTCCCATCCCAGCAGTCTTGGCAGACGTTGGGGGGGGGGGGGAATTCTTGGTGTCTTCAGCGGAGGATTTGCTAATTGCCCTCCCCCCATTCCTTCCCTCTTTAAGAACTGAAGAAATTGGGTATGAAAGGCCACCCTTGACACAATGTACCTTCTCAGTCCAGTGGTTCTTTATTGAGTGCCAGTACCACTGTATTAGGGTCCCTGGAAGAATGAACAGGAGGACATTTCTTAAGGGGTTGTGTCTTCTCAAACTCACTGGCTTCTTCTTCTTTTGCCCCTTTAATGTTAGTGTTCCCCAGGTTCTCTTAGCTGTGTACACATCCTGATGGAATTTTTCAAACTCAGCATAACTTGATTGATAACAACTTGGGCTCTGGTGGAAAACAGGATTTGTACCTGTGTAACTGCTCAAGTCGTTAATCTCTCAATCTCAGTATTTTTTTTTAACTGCAAATTAAAAATAGGAAGAAGATTAACTTGGTATCTCAAATTGGTGTTAAGTAAATGTTATGTGATGGTATCCACACATAAAAGTATCATCGTATGCAGACCTGCTCTTTCTTTTAAATTTCTCACCTCAATTGATGACTCCACATCCAGTTCCCTGCAAAATAACTAACCAAGACACTTTGGGTTCTTGCAGATGAGGTGCGTACTTGCTCCTTCACATCATTACCCTCAATCCTCCCTGTTTTGACCTGGTCCGCTGGAGTTCCTCCAATGTGCTGGGCACATGCTGCTTCCTTCACCTGCTTTTCCTACTCCTGTGGCTCACTTGCAGGCCCTGGTCCTACTGTTTTCTCCTCATTGAGCTGAATTTTCACTTCTTGTCTGGAAACATTCCATACTACCTTCCCATTACCATCACACCCAATTGGAATTTCCTGTCCTCTCCCAGGTTACCTTTCTACATAGTTATTACCACATCTGTCCCATTGTGTTGTAATTTTTCATTTACATCACTGTCTCCTTCTTCAGACTTTGAATTTCTTCTAGGTGATCCATTACTTATTTAATCAAAGAAACAGTATTTGTTCAAAGTACAAATTATTGCAGAAATGAAAGAAATGAAGAACGAGGAAGCAAAAGACTAACAGAAGACGTGCCCGAATTGCCTGGGCAAGAATCCATAAGAATCTGAAATAGGGTAATAGTCTGGACTTAGTAAAATGGGGATAAACTACAGAGAAATAGTGATGAGTTTGATGGCTGATTAGGTGTTGGAAGAGAGAGATGAATCAAGAATAACATCTGGGTTCCTTATTTAAAGTAGTAGATAGATAATGGAGGCACTGACCAAGAGAGAGTACAAAAACTTTGTGGGAAAGAATGAAGGCTCCAGTCCTGAGATTTGAGGTGTCTATGATACCATCCAATGTGGTATTCTAGTTGATGATTAAAAATACGAACATGGAGTTAAAATTCTGACTTGGTTTATAAGCAGCAGGGTTATGGAAAAGCAAATAGTGGTAGATGTGCCAAACAATTCCTATTCTCTTTCAGGTATATGAAAAAGTTGTGTGTTCTAGCCTTTTTATGTTTGGTTATGCTACGTAACACATTCTGTCAGTGAATTTTGAGTGTAACATTTATTTGCTGATGCAAGATCTTCCAGAACCCATTTTCTCTTTGTCTTGGCAATCAGTGATGTTCCAGGAACTGTATGCTCTATCATTGTTGGTCTTGGAGGGAAGACAATTCAGAATACAGTCCCAACTACCTCATGATGGATATGTAAAGTAAGTGAGAAGAAAAGTTTGTTTTAAGCCACTGAAATTTGAGAGTTACCATAGCTGATCTTTGTCACTCCTAACTGATTGGAATGAGAAAATAAGGTTTAAAGAATGAAACCTTTACTGGGCATGGTGTCACATGCCTATAATCCCAGGGACTCTGAAGGCTGAGGCAGGAGGATTGCAAATTTGAGGAGGCTCAGCAACTAAGCAAGACCCTAAGCAATTTACTGAGAACCTGTCTCAAAATTTTAAACAATAAAAAGGGACTAGTCATTTTTGCTCAGTGTTTAAACACCCTTGGTTTCAATCTCTTAAAAAAAAAAAAAAAAAGTGAAACCTGAGAGTATTAATGTGTTGATAGTCTGTGGACTTGTGAGGAAAGACTCAGACTGCCTTAATTAGAAGAGGAGGGACAAGAGTATTTTTATGGATATGTGAGTATCTATTAGGAATTTAGGCATCTCAAAGGATAATCTTCTCTTCTTCTTGTCTCTGTTCTCTATCCCTAATCTATTCTCATAGCACCAACTTGCTAATTAATCCTATTCTTATCCTCTAATCCACATTCCATAAGAATATAATCCAAATGCAGAGCCCTTAGCACTAAGCCACTTCTCCAGCTGGCAGCCAGCCTGTGGATGGGCCACTCTTGGATGAAGTGCTCATCTTGGTCTAAACAGCACCACCCCTACCCCAAACACCATTCAACTCTCCTGGGCATAAGAGGTTTGACCAGAACAGTGCACACTGCAGTGGGTCATTTCAACTCATGTCTCACCACAATTTATTTTTCACAGAATTGTGAAAGTTACAGTGTATTTTATGAGTAGAATCTGCCTGATGTATTTTAATTCACACACATCAACCTACTATGATCAGCCTAAAATCTTTATGTTGCATTAAGGAAAAAAAAAAAAAAAAAAACCTAACTTCTTGCCTGGCCAGAAAAGCCTTTTATGATCTCACTTCTGCCTGCCATTCCTCCCTCACCTTCTGTCCTGGTCTCACACTTGAGCACCTCAGCTTCTTCTCTTTCCCTTGGATTTTCCAAGGTGTCTAACTCAGGATGTTGGACTCTGCCCTTGCTGATCTCTCGTTTGAGCACTCTTTTTTAGCTCTTAGAAAGCCTGGCTTTCCTCTTTCGTTTTAACTCTTCTGTCACCTCATAGATTACCCATGTCTAAAAGACTGCCCTTTCTACATCACAGGTGTGGTACTGCTTGTTATTTCCTTTACACTTATCTGTAAAGGAGCACCCGTGGAGGAATACCTGCGAGGAAGCACACAAAGAACAGTCACAGACACAAGGTATAAGCAGCAGACATAGGTGGAGCAGAGAGAGTGAAGTGAAGAAGTGAAAAAGAAGAAGTACAGAAGTGTCCACTCCTCCCTCCTGCTGAGTTTATTAACTCAAAAAAGGTTACATTTTACCCATCACACATGACTACACTCTAACCAGTATTCCTTTAATCCTGGGTGCTAGCTAACTGAGATAAGGTCCAGGTTAATACAAACACAGAGCCTCTCACACCCAAGGACTTTACTATGGAAACCAGGTAGTGCACCCGAATAGTTATCTTAATAGCCTCAGAGGGAAACTGCTGGGCAATCCAATCGTGGGAATCTGGGCACCTGTTTGCTCACCAGAGGAATTGCTTCCCTGTCTATTTCCACAGTCAGAATACCTAATGCTTATCACCACATACTAATACCTTATGTCTATTCTTTTACTGTCTGCCTCCCCTGGGTAGAATGAAAACACCATGAAAATGGACATCACTTCTGTCTTGTGAACTCGTGTACTCTGATTCCCTAGAATACTTAGTACACTAGATATTTTTAAGTGCATGATGGAGACAGTGAACTCTGTGCTTGTATGCTGGCTGTTCTCTGCTGGCCCTCCATCCAGGTTCATTCTCCACCTTTCCTTGCTTTGCTGTGCTTCTAGGAGGTGGACCTCAAGAGCATCAGCTGAGTCTGTCATACTCTTGGTTTCCAATTAGGTTTGAGTCATGAGAGGCACCAGCAGAAAACTGGAGGATAGTAGGAGTGAGAGGTAAGGCCTCTTCAGAACCCGGTTTCTCTAGTTTTGGCAGTAAGTGTATTCTTCCATGGCCATGGCGTTCCTGTTTATTAAGTTTTCAACTCTTTCCCAACTCTGGTACTGATTTCCTGAAACTTCACCATCCCTTGATTAGACTGCGTTTTAGAGGAACAGAACCAATTCATATGGGTTTATTAGACTGGTGTAAATCAGAGATTGAAGAGTCAGGGAAACCAATAGATGCTCAGTTCAAGAAGCCAGATCCTCAAAACAAGAGGGACAAATGATGCAGTCCCAATCTGAGGCTGAGGGCCTGAAAGCCCTCTGGTCAGCCACTAGTACAAGTCTGCTTTCCGGGGTGGCAGGATTTTGAGTCTGATGTCCATGGGTGATGGCAGCAGCAAAAACTGCACCCACTCAAGGGTTGAATATGCATAAGTATAAGCTTCCCCCTTCCATTTTTTATTCTATCCAAACCCCCAACCGATTGGGGGTGCTGCGCATGTTCAGGATGGGTCTTTCCCACTCATTTCATTTGATTGACATGCTAAACATCTCTGGAGACATCTTCACAGACACACCCAAAATTATACTTTATGCATTTTCTAGGTGTCCTCAACCCAGTCATTTTGACAACCAAAGTTAATGATCATAATTGTCTTTACTGTTTTTTTTCCTGCTAGGACCTTGATTAACAGTGTGGCCAGTCAGTACAATCAACACTTGGTTTCACGTGATTTACCCCTCACCACACAGAGAAAGCAGAGGAACCACATTTCAAATTAAAACTAAGTTCATGGATTATGAAGTGGACCAAGAGAAACTATTATAATGGAAGTCCAAGGAAAAATAATTCTAACAGGAAAGGAAGGAGCAATGGTGTCCCAAGGTAGCAAAGTGCTTGTGGTGAGAGAAAGACCAATGAATGTGTCTTAGACATTTCTTTTAAAAGTAACCTCTAGTGCCTAGGGAAAATACTTTTACTAAAGGGAGAATTACAGAGATTTTGAGAGTGAATAAAAGAAGAAGAAAGAAAAGAGTGACAACTACAAGGAACAGGGTGAGGAAGATGGGACTATTAGATATTCCAAGTGCTAATTATAAATTGAGGTTAAGAAGCCAGGGGAGTGAGAAGGGTTAAGGGAGGAAATAGTGATGAAACCAGGTTCAAAAGGAGCTAAGAAGAATGGGATTAAGATACTAGGAAAGGATTAGACAGGGGACAAGATGCTTTCTCCAAGATAGAAGGAAAAGATATAGAGTTGAATGCAAATTTACCTGTGCTGTGTCTAATCCTAATGGATTCTGTCACTGAAGAATTTATTTGAATGTGGTTGGGATATACAGATCATTTTTCTTTCTGCTTTGAGAGTCTGGGACATCATTTCCATGAATTTTCTTGATCACAAACAAAGGTTGATCTATCCTTTCAGCTCTTCATGTGTCACTCATACAATGGGCAAATGTGTCCAGTCTTCTTATTATAGACTTTCCAATGCACCTCTGATTTGGATGTGTCTTTTTCAACATTGGGAATTAGAAGGGGAAATCCAATCATTGTTAACTAATAACATTTAAATGCAAAATGGGAAAATGCTATTAAAAGCTGTTAGTTTTGGGCAAATTAATCTCCAAACTCTACATTATCTATATTATAACTGAATTTCCATATAATCTGCAATATTACCTTCCATCAAATTTAAGTACATCTATAATAATAAATGCATGTTTGATATGCAGACATTGAAGCTGTTAAACTCAGTTCTTCATGATTTATTATCAAATTAAGCTTCAAGAAGAATTAGGAGTCCTTTTTGTTCTGGGTTTGGTGGCCTGCTTCCTTTCTTTGCCAACCTTTTAAACCTTTGGGAGAGATTTTAGGATTCTGGGCTCAAAATTAGAATGTGACTTATTTTATAATAGGATTTGAGAAATCCTGAATTCCTCAGGAAACCCTGTACCAAATAAATACAAATGCCAGCCCCTCAAAAACTACTCTGGCAGCCAAAGGAAAGTAGAAGTGCATCAAATGCTGGCCTTAGAGCACAGTGTTGATCTTCAGTGGGTGCTCCAGCTAGCAAGGAAGTAGCTGGAACACCTGTTTGGTGCATTTTTACAGAAGACAGGTGCCTTTTCTTCTCACACTTGCTTAAGCTGTATAATTTAAATGAGTACATCTGGACCCTTGGAGCCTACATAAAATTGCTTTCTCAGTGTTAGCAAGTAATTCTTTCTGAATGATGGATTTTCAGTTTATTTGTTTAAGAAGAATATACTGAGGGCATATACTTCAGCAGACTCCCTTGAGAGTATAAAGATGAATGAAAGGCATTTCCTACCTTAGGGAGTACAATCTGATTGTTAAGAAGAGACTAACTTCATTACAGAGCCTATATGATGAGTGCATCAGAGTTCTGCTTGAGGGTTTAGGAGAGGTGTGAGAGATGATTTTTCACAGTGTGCCCATTTCCAAATGGAACTCTTAGTTCTGTTCCTTTGCAGCATTTATCTCAGTACTTCAATGAAGGCTTACTTGAGAACCTGAACTAATTGTGAAAATTAACCAATCTTGTTTGATAAGTCCCCCATCCCGTATTACTACGATAGTGAAAAATGTTGCAATTTCTGTCAGCTTTATCTGCCATTATTATGTTTACAGGTCTGCCTATACATTACCAAGTGCTTGTCTTCCTGAGAGGTATCTCCAGTCTCCTTCTCCTCTTACACTTCTTTTAATCAGTTTTTTTTTTCTGCTGTGATCAGAACAAGTGCAGAGGAGGAAAAGTTTATTGGAGGCTCACAGTTTCAGAGGTCTCAGTCTATAGAAGGCTGGCTCCATTCCTTGGGGCTCAAAGTGAAGCAGAATATCATGGTGGGGGGCTGGGGATGTGGCTCAAGCGGTAGTGCACTCGCCTGGCATGCGCGGGGCACAGGGTTCGATCCTCAGCACCACATAAAAAAAAATAAAATAAAGATGTTGTGTCTACCGAAAACTAAAAAAATAAATAAATATTAGAAGATACTCTCTCTCTCTTTCTCTTAAAAAAAATAGAAAGAATATCATGGTGGATGAGTGTGATGGAAGGAAGCAGCTCACAAAATGAACAGGAAGCAGAGAGGGAGACTCCACTGGTCAGATACAAAATATATATCCCAAAGCCATGTCCCCAAGGCCCACCTCCTCCAGCCATACCCTACTCATCTATAGTTCCCAGCCAATTAATCCATCCCATCATGAGATTAATTCACTGATTGAATTAAGGCTCTCGTAAACTGATCCATTCACCTCTAAACCTTCTTGTATTATCTCACACATGAGCTTTTGGAGGACATCTCACATCCAAACTAGAACAGCACTGCTCTGCACTACATATTTGACTGGGAATAAGGAGGTCTTGTTGGAGCTGACAGATGAGGATTAGGGGAGAATGAGGAATCACCAACTCATAGCAGCTAAGTAATCATTGTTTACCTAATTACTATTCACAGTAAGACAATGAATCATGACAGGTTTGATTCTGTGGTGGTTAACTTCCATTGCAGAAAAATCCAAAGACTTGATGCTTCTAGTTCCCAGTAGCCTTAATTATATGGGAAACAGTATTTTGGAGTCTAAAGGGAAAACTGTGTCATTTATGATGGTGAATGAAAATGCCAAGTCTCGCAGTTGTTATAATTCTGTTATTGTACAAGTTCATGTACATATAAAGTGCTGTTAACCTTTTAACCCTATAGAAGATACTGAGAAAAATAAGTATGAAACATTCCCTTTAAATTTTTTCTTTAAAACTGTAAAAAAGAGGAAAGTTTAGAATATTCTACTGCCAATGTAACTGTTTTCTAATGAAGAAAATGTGATTGAGATTAATATTATTTCTACAGAACAAATCCATACTTTTTAACCACATATACAAAGATAAATTACATGTTTTCTAGCTTTTTTAAAATACTTAATTCTTTTTTTAACACTTCTTATAAATTTAAAAGAAGTCTAAGATTAGAGAAAAAAAATGGGGGCGGGTATACCAGGGATTGAATTTAGAGGCACTCAAACATTCAGCCACATCCCCAGCCCTATTTTTTTTTTTTTTTTTTAGAGACAGGGTCTCACTGAGTTGCTTAGAATGCCTCACTTTTGCTGAGGTGGCTTTGAACTGGTGATCCTCAGCCTCCTGATCTGCTGGGATTACAAGCATGTGCCACGGCTCCCAGCTAGATTAGAGAAAATTTTGAGAATCTTAACTTGAACCTGAATTTACATCAAGATTATTTGTTTCACTTGTTAGATGTGAGTTAGGGATTTAAGATATGCTCTGTTGACCTCTATCTAGGCATAGTCTAACTGATCTGGGTGATAGTCTTCACTTATCTCTTCATTACATTCTCTTTCAACTCTCCTATCAATTGAAAAGGAAGAAGAGAAACTTTCTCAGGTAGTAGATTTAACTTTAGTTTAAAGAACGGATTTCAAGTTGGGGGAAGCTCAGGAATAATACATGGTCTTGCCTGTTAAATCACCAAATAAGCTTTTACTCAACAATTTCTTATTAGTAATATCACTGTGACCCCAGCATTTTAAAGGATGTCTTGGGGGCAGGAACTTAAGAATCCATCTTCCACCATGAGAAGGCAAAGAACTGTAGCACCCAGTGTCAATTACAATGGGAGAACCAAAGGAAGGAATGACTAAGCCTGTTTGGGAGTCAGAGGAAATTTGCAGCAAAGGTGCTATTTGAGCTGGGTGTTGAAGGATGAGTGTATACTTATTTATATCCTACTCACTTCAGAAGGATTTTATGGTGCCTTGTAGGATTTGGCCAGATAGTGGGGGAGTAAAACAGCATTTCAGGAACAGAAAATGCCAAAGTACTGAAGTGTGAAAGGGCAGGAATTACTTGGGAAGTGGTGAGATGTTCTGAGGACAGATGCATAGAATACACATGTGAGGCTGGAGAAGCAAGGCAGGAAACATCAACCCTATGTGCCACCCTCTAACAGTGGTTTTCAAACTTAAGTTTGCATTAGAATTCTCTGCAGTGCTTTTAAAAGTTTAGTCCACTGGGCCTCATCCTTACAGGATTTTAGTTATACTGATGTGTGGCTATGAGTAGAAGTGGGGCAAGACTTGGCAGTTTTCACAAATCTCCTAGTGATTCTACAATACCTAGTCTTGGAACCAAACTTTAAGAACCACTACTGGATTTATGGATCTTATAGTCAATTAGGAGTACCTGGGATTTTTATAGCTTGAGAAACAAATAAATTGATTTAGGCTAAGGAAATTTAATCAAGTTGTGATATAATCAAGATAAATTGGAATTATTAAATATGGGGACTTAATGAAAATAAAAGCATTCTGGATGTTAAAATGATATCCATAATTTAAATGAAAATACTACATGTAATCAAAGAATCTTAACTTTACCAAACTTTTAAAAATGTGTTTCAACAAGTCTATAAAAATTTTGATTCATTTTTTGCCAATGTCATTGTTAGGCCTTAATAGCTAAAGAAAGAGATGGCTTTGTCATGGTGATTCAGCAGTCAGACCTCAAAAATGTGTGACACAAAGCCACTCACATTGGAGAAAGTCTGTCTAAGGAAATACCACCTGGGGCTGTCACTTACTGATTGTGCCCACTATCAGTATCAGAGCCTTGCGCAGGTATCAGGTGTGATCTTTCCAGGCTCTATATACTAGTAAGTATAGGGGCTTCACCCTTATAAATAGGACATTATAGAGACAGCAAGGTTAAATTGAGAACAGCTAAAGCCACAAACATGGGAAGAGAAGTACATATGAGTAACTTGATCCTCCTCATGTGGAATGTATAATTAAATCTTGATATTAATTAAAATGTTTTATTTTAGTTTCATTTCTCCTTATAGCAACTATTTGGGCCTTTGTTAAGTGTGCCCAAGGAACACTCTATGTTCTGTTCTCTTCCTCTGAATGCCATTCTTCTTAGTGCCCAGGTTCTGTTGACCCTCTTGAGTTTTGTGCTGCTTCTTTTATGAGAGTTTTAAAGACATTTAAAAGGAAATAACAATGACTCACAATAACCATGTCTAACAATGACTTCTGAACTAGAGAAAAATGATTCTTTCCTTTAAAGATAATTTCAAACCATATGGAATTTTAAAAATCAAGAGCATCAATATTTATTTTTCAGGCTATAAATGAAAATGATTAACTGCTGTAACTTATGTAGGCTCTACCCATGATGTATTTAACTTTAAAAAGATACAATCAGGAGAGTTAAGGTTCTTTAAAACTATCATATACTATTAGTTCTCCAATCCATTTCTTCATCTGGGCACAGTAGTGGAGTTAAATTTGGAGGTTGGCCACCCAGCTGGAGATGCTATTTCCCAGCCTCAGTGAAGGCTGAAGGAAGTGACATAAATACTTAAGTTCTTGCCAACAGAATGGTATCACGAAGTGATGTGTGCAACTCCAACCTTACTTGTTTAAAGGAATTGTCTTCTCTCCACTTTCTTTCTCCTTCTTGAGCTGAATGCCCTGACATGCCAGAGACTCAACATGGGGACCCCTAATAGCTGAATGGAGCAGAACTACTCTATCAGCCTTGCCTGGCTAAACTGTAAGATGACAAGAAATCAACTTCTACTCTGATTTTTGGATTTCTTGGATATCAGTGTAGTACTTATTCTCTGGTACAAATATGTAGTCAAGAGAAATCTGTATAATTAATTACTGAAATGGTTGAATGGTAGTCTCCAAAAGATACCTACTGAGAGCCTGTGAATGTGAGATTATTGGGGGAGGGGGAGTGCCTTTGCAGGTATAATCAAAATGAGAATCTGCAGCTGAGATAATATGGGATTTACCAGGTGGGTTCTAAGTCCAAGAACACACTTTGTTTTAAAAAACAGAAGAGAGAAAGAGAGAAATCCAGTGAAACTGAAGCAGAGACACAAGTGGCACAACTGCAAGCCAAGGAATGCCTACAATCACTAGAAGATCGAAGAGGCAGGGAAGGAGTCTCCTAGAGCTTTTAGAAGAAGTATGATCCAGCTGGCACTTAAATTTTTATACTTCTAAGATTTCAAAATTGTGAAAATAAATTTATGTTGTTTTTAAGTCACACAGTTAAATTTGGCAATTTGTTATGACAGTCCTAGGAAACTACTTTATAAAAGTTGAAAGTTGCTAATGAAGATGAAGAAGCTAAACATGGAGAAATAAGAACAATTTCTTGTTTTCCTAAGAAATACTGACAAAAGCACACAACACTAATGTGTTAATCACTGAAAGGTGTAGGGCATGTAAGAATAGGGGAACACAGTCCAAGCCCTAAAATGTTTGTTGTTTTCTTAGAGAATATAGCTCTATTTACACAGCATTGATTCATTTAAAAACAACAACAACAAAAAAAAAAACTAAAACTAAAAAGTTTCATGTAAGAACTGGAGGCTTCAGCTAGGTGCCATGGCATACTTCTGTAATCCCAGCTGTTTGGGAGGCTGAGGCAGGAGGATTGCAAGTTCAAGGGCTGCTTGGGTAAGCTGGTGAGATTCTGTGTCGAAAACATTTTTTAAAGCGGGTGGAGTTTTTGTGGGGGGATGTAGTTCAGTGGTAAAGTACCCCTGGGTTCAATACCCAGTACTACCAAGAAAAAAAAAAACTGTTCGGCAATGCGAAAAGTCACCAAGTTGTTGGATAAATAAGTTTGACTAAGTAAATCAACTATATAATTTGCCCCTTGGTGATAATTCTGGCTGGTGAATATGGCAAAAACTATAATTTTAAAACAGATTATTTAGAAGAGGAGCAGCGGCCTGCTGAGAGGCAGAGCCGCCCCCTCCCCCTGCGCCGGCAAGGTAGAGGGAACTGTGACCACCCACAGAGCAGGCCCAGCGGCCTGCTGAGGGGCAGAGCCGCCCCCCCACCCCCCGCGCCTGCCAGGTAGGCAGAACCGTGAGCACCGACAGAAAAGGCCCAGTGGCCTGCGGCTGGACAGAGCTTCCAATCACTCCTGCAAGGTAGGTGGGCCTGCGACCCACCGGCAGAAGAGGAGCAGCGGCCTGCTGAGAGGCAGAGCCACCCCCTCTCCCTGCGCCTGCCAGGTAGGCGGAACTGTGACCACCGACAGAAAAGGCCCAGTGGCCCGCGGCGGGACAGAGCTTCCAATCACTCCTGCAAGGTAGGTGGGCCTGCGACCCACGGGCAGAAGAGGAGCAGCGGCCTGCTGAGAGGCAGAGCCGCCCCCTCCCCCTGCGCCGGCAAGGTAGAGGGAACTGTGACCACCCACAGAGCAGGCCCAGCGGCCTGCTGAGGGGCAGAGCCGCCCCCCACCCCCTGCGCCTGCCAGGTAGGCGGAACTGTGACCACTGACAGAAAAGGCCCAGTGGCCCGCGGCGGGACAGAGCTTCCAATCACTCCTGCAAGGTAGGCGGGCCTGCGACCCACGGGCAGAAGGGGAGCAGCGGCCTGCTGAGAGGCAGAGCCGCCCCCTCCCCCTGCGCCGGCAAGGTAGAGGGAACCGTGACCACCCACAGAGCAGGCCCAGCGGCCTGCTGAGGGGCAGAGCCGCCCCCCACCCCCTGCGCCTGCCAGGTAGACGGAACTGTGACCACTGACAGAAAAGGCCCAGTGGCCCGCGGCGGGACAGAGCTTCCAATCACTCCTGCAAGGTAGGCGGGCCTGCGACCCACGGGCAGAAGAGGAGCAGCGGCCTGCTGAGAGGCAGAGCCGCCCCCTCCCCCCGCGCCTGCAAGGTAGACGGAACTGTGACCACCATCAGAACAGGCCAGACCTGCAACCGACAGACAGAACAGGCCCAGCGGCCTGAGGAAGGGTAGAGCCGCCCCGCCCCCTGCGCCTGCAAGGTAGGCGGACCTGCGACCCACTGGCGGAACAGCCCCAGAGGCCTGCAGAGGGGCAGTGCCGCTGCCTGCGCCTGCAAAGTAGGCAGAACTGCGACCACTGACAGAACAAGCCTAGCGGCCCGCAGAGGGACAGAGCCGCCGCCCGCGCCTGCAAGGTAGGCGGACCTGCTACCGACCAGCAGAGCAGGCCCAGTGGCCTGCCGGCGTGGTAGGCACATTGCCCCAATTGGAGGAGGGGCAGAGCCGCCGCCCGCGCCTGCGAGGGAGACTTTGCAACTATACAAGACCAATATAAATATATAGGGGGAAAATTCAATAGCACAACAGTTTCACCAAGTAGAAAGTAACGCAAACAGTATGAAGAGACAAGGAAAGAAAGGACCACAAGCAATGCAGGTCAACTCAACGTTAGAAGAGGTAATAGCTGCAGCAGATGGAATGTCAGATAAAGAATTCAGGATATACATGCTTCAGATGATCTGGAGTCTCAAGGAAGACATCAGACAGCAAAATCAGACAATGAAAGATCACTTCAACAATGAATTACATAAGCAAATCCAAGAAGCAAAAGATCAACTATACAGGGAGATAGAGGTTATAAAAAACAAACAAACAGAAATCCTAGAAATGCAGGAAGCAATAAACCACCTTAAAAACTCAATGGAGAATACTACCAGCAGAGTAGAACACTTAGAAGATAGAACATCAGACAATGAAGACAAAGCATTTCAACTTGAAAAGAACATAGACAGCTCAGCAAGACTGTTAAGAAACCACGAGCAGAACATCCAAGAAATATGGGATAACATCAAGAGACCAAATTTAAGAGTCATTGGGATACAGGAAGGGACAGAGTTTCAAACCAAAGGAATGAGCAATCTATTCAATGAAATAATACGAGAAAACTTCCCAGACTTGAAGAATGAGACAGAACCCCAAATCCTAGAAGCCTACAGGACGCCGAATGTGCAAAATCATAAGAGACCCACACCTAGACACATTATAATGAAGATGCCCAACATACAGAATAAGGAAAGAATTTTAAAAGCTACAAGAGAAAGGAAGCAGATTACATTTAGGGGTAAGCCAATCAGGATAACAGCTGATCTTTCAACACAGACTCTGAAAGCTAGAAGATCCTGGAATAACATATTTCAAACACTGAAAGAAAATGGGTTCCAACCAAGAATTGTGTTTCCAGCGAAATTAAGCTTCAGGATGGAAGATGAAATTAAAACCTTCCACGATAAAAGTTAAAAGAATTTGCAGCTAGAAAACCATCTCTTCAAAACATCCTCGACAAAACATTACAGGAAGAGGAAATGGAAAATAACAATGAAAACCAACAGTGGGAGGTAGGACACTAAAGGGGGGAAAATAATCAAAGAGGAAAACAAACCATGTTTAGTAACAGAAATAAACAAATATGGCTGGAAGAACAACCCATATGTCAATAATAACCCTAAATGTTAATGGCTTAAACTCACCAATTAAGAGACAAAGGCTAGTAGAATGGATCACAAAACAAGACCCAACAATATGCTGCCTACAGGAGACGCATTTGATAGGAAAAGACATATATAGGCTGAAGGTGAAAGGTTGGGAAAAATCATATCACTCATACGGATTTCGGAAACAAGCAGGAGTGTCCATACTCATATCAAATAAAATAGATTTCAAGCCAAAGTGAATCAAAAGGGATAAAGAGGGAGACTACATACTGCTCAAGGGAACCATACACCAACAAGACATAACAATCATAAATATATATGCCCCAAACAATGGTGCAGCTATGTTCATCAAACAAACTCTTCTCAAGTTCAAGAGTCTAATAGACCACCATACAATAATCATGGGAGACTTCAACACACCTCTCTCGCCACTGGACAGATCTTCCAAACAAAAGTTGAATAAGGAAACTATAGAACTCAATAACAGAATTAATAACCTAGACTTAATTGACATATATAGAATATATCACCCAACATCAAGCAGTTACACTTTTTTCTCAGCAGCACATGGACCCTTCTCAAAAATAGATCATATATTATGCCACAGGGAAACTCTTAGACAATACAAAGGAGTAGAGATAATACCATGCATCCTAACTGATCATAATGGAATGGAACTGAAAATCAACGATAAAAGAAGGAAGGAAAAAGAATACATCACTTGGAGAATGAACAATAGGTTACTGAATGATCAGTGGGTTATAGAAGACATCAAGGAGGAAATTAAAAAATTCTTACAGATTAATGAAAACACTGACACAACATATCGGAATCTATGGGACACACTGAAAGCAGTTCTAAGAGGAAAATTCATTGCTTGGAGTTCATTCCTTAAAAAAAGAAAAAACCAACAAATAAATGATCTCATACTTCATCTCAAAATCCTAGAAAAAGAAGAGCAAAACAACAGCAAAAGAAGTAGAAGGCAAGAAATAATTAAAATCAGAGCTGAAATTAATGAAATCGAAACAAAAGAAACAATTGAAAAAATTGACAAAACTAAAAGTTGGTTCTTTGAAAAAATAAACAAAATCGACAGACCCTTAGCCATGCTAGCGAAGAGAAGAAGAGAGAGAACTCAAATTACTAGCATACGGGATGAAAAAGGCAATATCACAAGAGACACCTCAGATATACAGAAGATAATCAAAAATTATTTTGAATCCTTATACTCCAATAAATTAGAAGATAGTGAAGGCATCGATAAATTTCTTAAGACATATGATCTGCCCAGATTGAGTCAGGAGGATATAGACAACCTAAACAGACCAATATCAATTGAGGAAATAGAAGAAACCATCAAAAGACAACCAACTAAGAAAAGCCCAGGACCGGATGGGTACACAGCAGAGTTTTACAAAACCTTTAAAGAGGAACTAATACCAATACTTTTCAAGCTACTTCAGGAAATAGAAAAAGAGGGAGAACTTCCAAATTCATTCTACGAGGCCAACATCACCCTGATACTTAAACCAGACAAAGATACTTCAAAGAAAGAAAACTACAGACCAATATCTCTAATGAACCTAGATGCAAAAATCCTCAATAAAGTTCTGGCGAATCGAATACAAAAACATATCAAAAAAATTGTGCACCATGATCAAGTAGGATTCATCCCTGGGATGCAAGGCTGGTTCAATATACGGAAATCAATAAATGTTATTCACCACATCAATAGACTTAAAAATAAGAACCATATGATCATCTCGATAGATGCGGAAAAAGCATTCGACAAAGTACAGCATCCCT